AACAACAACAACAACAACAACAACAACATTATGACCCATAATAAAGGGGAATGCAGCAGTAGTTCTATAAATAGATATGTCAATGCAGTGGGATAGTAGAAGTCTGAAATCCTGAGTTTTCATCGACTTTTCACATACTTTATAACTGTTCAATAAGCATTTTAACTCTAGTGGGCTGCTTAATGTAGGAAATTGGATATCATCATAAAATATATTTGAATAGTGTGAATTGGCTCACTTCTTTTAGGTTGCAGTTTTTCATGCCTTAATTTCATTCACTTCTTACGAATAATACTGATGTTGGCAGGTTATATATCCTGTTTTATAAGTAGGAAAATTTATGCTCAGAACAATTTACTGTTTTTTTAAAAATATCATCCCGCAGCTAATCACTGACTAAGCTTGTTTTCAAAGTAAAGCTTTTAGACCTTTTTGCTACTATTATTTTTGCTATACCAAACTATCTTTGGAGTTCTGGTGTGGCGCTGTAGGATAAGCACTGACTTTGAATGTCAGTTTGAAATACAAGGTCGGCGGTTCAAACTCACCAGATGCTCCTCGGAAACCTTATACAGGGTCACTATGAATTGGAACTCACTTGACAGCCCTTAGCAAGAACAGTAACAAAAATTACCTCTGCTAAACGAAATCAGTGATTATTGTTGTTGTTGTTATGTGCCGTGACATCAGTTCCAACTCATAACGACCTTGTACAGGGTTTCCCAGGCTGTAAATCTTTACGGGAGCAGAAAGCCTCGTCTTTCTCCCCACGGAACAACTGGTAGTTTCGAACTGCTGACCTTGTGGTTCACAGCCCGATTCATAACCACTATGCTACCAGAAATCAGTAATAGATAGATGAGGATAATTAAAATTTGTTACTCTACTAGAAAGTAAGGATCCCCCTAGTAGTGTAGTGGTGTATGAGCTGGGTTGCTAACTGCAAGGTCAGCAATTCTAATCTACCTGCTGCTTCAAGGAAGAAAGATGCTCCTTTAATAATTCATAGCCTCAGAAACACTATACTTAGTTGCTAGGGGTCAAAACTGACTCTGTGGTACACAACCACTACCACCACCCGTAGAAAGTATTTAATAAAAGAATAGTTAATATTGGAAATTTAATTTCAATAAGGAACTATTGTGTTTTTATACAAATTATGTGTACATTATGTAGTTTTAGCTAACCATACTGTCTCTTGCACATTAGTTTCCTGTGAATATATTATATACATTTATGTGTTATTTATTTGATTACTTTGTGTGTGAATGCATGCAATATAAGAGATAAAGCAGAGATGTTAAAGATTGAATTTTTAGGTGTCGTCAAGTTGCTTCCAGCTCATATGATCTTATGCCTTGCCTGGTCCTGTGCTGTCCCGTCCTCACAATTGCTGTTATGTTTGAGCCTATCATTGTTGCCACTGTATCCATTCATCTTATTGAATTTAGTAGATGTTATTAAGATTATTGAAAAACATATAGATACATACATATGAAGGGCCTTCAAAACGTTTTTGGGAAATTTCCATTATTTTAATTATATTTTTCCATTAACTTTTTGAAGCCCCCTCGTATTAAAATAAGTAATTGTTTATATTTTTTGTTGATGATACTCTCAATTTTATCCCTGGGCATTTTGCCAGAAGTCAAAATATAAAATCACACATGGCTTTGGTTTGCGTTAGAAAATAGGAACTTGCTACCACATTTTCCATTGTTTTGTTGACAATCCATTTCCATTAACTTGTTACTTGGAGTTAAATTGCTTACAGACTTTTAAATCTTGCTAAAGGTGATCAAATGGACATTCGAATCTCTCATTAAAGTGATGTCTTGATGTTAAAATAAAAATCTACTTTCCTGAAAGTTAACTGTAAAGCTATTTTATGCAAGATTTCATGTGGGATACCTTAATGGTTGAATAATAAATTTTACCTCATAAAAATGAAATTCAATAATACAGTAGCTTTCTCAGCTCAGTAGCATCTGGTGTATTCTCATGGGAGCCAATATTTTCCAACTCATTAGGATCATGTCGTTCTGTATGTCGTCAACATTGACTTAGCCAAGCTACCTTTACTTACATAACCGCCAAACGATTAAATAGGTCTCTTGTGGAGTGAAGTCAAATATTCCTTTTACTTTACTTTTGCCTTAGAAGAGGGGAAGAATGTGTACAGACTGTAACATTTAAACATCTGGTCTAAAACCACA